ATCCCAAGCCCTGTCTCGAAGCATCGCTGAAGATAGTGAAACTCCGAGAAGGATCGAGAATAGTCAACACCGGTGCTGCAGTTAACCTCCTTTTGAGCTCCTGAAAGCTCGCCTCACAACGATCAGTCCACTCGAACTTCACAGACTTCCTCGTCAGCTGGGAAAGAGGGAGGGCAATCTTGGAAAAGCCCTCGATGAACCTGCGGTAATAACCAGTTAGACCGAGAAAACTGCGAACCTCGGACGGACTCCTCGATGTCGACCAGTTTTGAACGGCTGAAACCTTGGAAGGATCCACCTCGATGCCTGCCTGAGTAATCACATGACCCAGAAAAGATACTCGTTGGAGCCAGAACTCGCATTTGGAGAATTTTGCAAACAAATTTTCTCGTCTGAGGGTTTCGAGAACCACCCTCAGATGCTCCTCATGCTCCTTCTGGCTCTTCGAGTAGATAAGGATATCGTCGATAAAGACAATAACGAACTGATCGAGGTAGGGATGGAAAATACGGTTCATGAGGTCCATGAAGACTGCTGGCGCATTGCTGAGACCGAATGGCATGACGACGAACTCGTAATGGCCGTAACGAGTCCTGAAAGCGGTCTTAGCGATATCTGACTCCTTACTCTTTAGTAGGTGGTAGCCTGATCGTAGATCAATCTTTGAGAATACACAGGGTCCCCTCAACTGATCAAATAAATCTTCGATCCTGGGAAGCGGGTACTTGTTCTTGATCGTCAACCGGTTCAGATCCCGGTAGTCGATACACATGCGCATGGATCTGTCCTTCTTCTTAACAAAGAGAACGGGTGCTCCCCACGGTGACACGCTTGGTCGGATGAAACCGAGTCGTAACAACTCCTGAATATGCGCCTTAAGCTCCTGCAACTCCTTTGGCGCCATGCGGTACGGGGCTTTGGACACTGGACCGGCCCCTGGAATGAAATCGATAGATAACTCCACCTGCCGGTTAGGCGGTCCTCCTGGAAGCTCGTCTGGGAACACATCCACAAACTCACGAACGATTGGAACATCATGAGGTGAGCGTGCTTTCTGAGAATCATCGACAAGGCTAACCAGATAATTCTGGCAGTTGCCTCGTCGCAGTAGCTTAGTGGCTTTCGCCATCGAAACAACATGAGGCCGTGAACGATTCCTGGAGCCAAAGAAAGTGATCGACTCGTCTCCTGAAAGATAGAGAGTAATCTCCCGGTCATGACACCTGATATCTGCATGATAGAAGGATA